GGGAGGGCTGCAATGGCTGATGACTGTGACATCCTTTGTTTACTGATATGGCAGGAAATATTCCATATCTCACCAGAGACCGGGAAAGTGCTGGGAGGGGCGCCAGAACTTGGGGGGGGGGTCCATGTGCCTCCACTGCAGGGGCCTCACTCCAACCACGCCCCCTGAGAGTGGGGATGGAACCTGTGGCCTTCCCAACCTGCCCAGCCCCACCCTGGGTGTGCATGGGGCGAGGTCCCAGCCAACGCTGGTATGACCACACCAGAAAGCCAGACACACGGGTGCAGGTAACTTTAGGTAGAATTCCTCCTGGTCAGAACCGTGGGCTGTTAGAATCCAGAAATCAGGACAGATCACGGGGGCTGGCCACCTTCTGGACATTCTGAGAAAATTACACTCTGTCTGTAAAAGGTCACGCTTGGGGACAAGAAGTCTTTAGAGGGCAGATACTCGGACAGGAACTGGCCCAGATAAGAAAAGACTAAAAGCGCTGGGGGGCTTCCCTGGTGGCGCAGTGGTTGAAAGTCCACCTGCCGATGCACGGGACACGGGTTCGTGCCCTGGTCCGGGAAGATCCCACATGCCGCGGAGCGGCTAGGCCCGTGAGCCACGGCCGCTGAGCCTGTGCGTCCGGAGCCTGTGCTCTGCAACAGGAGAGGCCACAACAGTGAGAGGCCCGCGTACCGCAAAAAATAAATAAATAAATAAAAGCGCTGGGGATTTCCCTGGTGGCCCAGTGGCTAAGACTCTGTGCTCCCAATGCAGGGGGCCCAGGTTCAATCCCTGGTCAGGGAACTAGGCCCCACATGCCACAACTAAAGATCCCGCATGCCGCAATGTCCTATGTGCCGCAACTAAGACCTGGCGCAGCCAAATAAATAAATAAATAAATATATTTTTAAAGACTAAAAACACTGGATACTGAGGGGCCGTATAAACCTAATCCCAACCTCAAGGCAGGGAAAATCAGTAAAATGGAGCAGGGAGCAAGGTGGCTGGCCAGGATGCCCCGGTCCTGGCCAAAGTGTCCAGCACGTCTTCCTGTCCACCCCCGGGGCCCCAGAGTGCCTGTGCCCCTCCAGGTCATTGCCTGCCAGGTCCCCTGAGACCCTATGAGGTGGGCGATTCCGTGCCCAGGGGAGATAGAGAGAAAGTTGCAGCTCTGAGCCAAGCTCGCCCAGAAATCCCACCCACTGCCACGTGTCTGAGGTGCTTCCGAGAGGAGAGGTTCAGAGTGACCCAAAGGCACCCACCTCACGGTGGCTACGGAACTCTGGGCCATGACAAGACGAGTGGCTCCCACCCCAGGCACACTGTGGATGGCCACTGTCATCACGCGGCACCCAGCCAGAGAGATCCAGGTAACCGAATTCCCCCTGCTGGCGGTCCTACGTCATGTTTGCCCTAGAAGGATGTGTATGCGAGGCCCAGGTGGCAGAGATGACACACCTGGCAAGTTCGGACCTGCTTCCCCAGCATAGGGACGCTTAGTTAGAGATATCTCATTGGACTCACTGAGTGTCTGCTCCCCTGCCCAGCACGCTTCCCCTGAACTGCCCCATCCCATCACAGGCCCGAGTGCACTGCAGGGGGCTGGCCCGGGCATTTGGGCCTCCTGGGATTTGTGACACGTGGGACTGGCAGCACAAGGTCAGATTTTAAGGTCTGTGTGGAAAGGAGAAGCCGCAGGGTCACAGGGGACGTGGGCAGCTCTGGGGGGGGGTGAGGCAGGCCAGAAGGAAGGGAAGCAGAGACAGAGGCAGAGGTATCTGCAGAATGACTAGACCTGAAAGTGGGGAGACACACACCTGGCCATTCCAGCAGGTGTCCAGTGGGTGAGAGGCAAGTTCCCAGAGCCCAAGGTTGAAGGAGGGAGACTGAGTGGGCCCCCCAAAGGTGGGTGGGCCTTTTAGGAAAGCCCCCCTGGCATCACTCTGGTCCCAGGAAACGCCTCTGGCTGATGAGCCTGGCTATGTCAAGCTCATGGATACAGACCAGGAAGTCACACCTCCCAGGGCTGCCATGTGTTCAAGGCCGTGGCCTTCTGAGTGCAGCAGGCTAATCTGGCCACGCCCCCAACACACACCCCACCCTCACCCCCATCAGACAAATCTGACTGACTGTGTGCTAAGAGCAAGCATCAGGCTCAGGGGAACCAGCCGTCCTCCTGGCCACAGTTTTCAGATTATGTTGAGGGGGAGGGGGCGGAGGTGAGGCAGTTCCTGCTCCCCAGGGGTGACACCCAGAAGGGGGCTAACCAAAGGCCACAGCCTACTGCATGTCCCTGGGCCCCAGGGCTGTGTAACCCTGAGGATGTCATCACTCCTCAGCTGGGACATCTCATGACACACAGAGTCCCACCTTCAGCCTCCAAGGAAAAAGCCCCCAAAGACTGTCCAAGTTGATCTATCCCACTCTCCTGTCATCTGGTCATCAGAGAAGACCATAGGAGAAGGTGACCCGACCCAGAACTCTGAACACACAAACCCACTCAGCAGACAATCACACAATCACTCGTATCAATGCATAATCGCACGGTGCCTAGTGTACCCCTACCTTGCCCATGGGACTGGTCTCCTGTTACAGGATCCCTCTTCCCACCCTGCTCCATCCTGGCCACCCCGCCATCCTGCCTCAGTCCCTCTCCCTTGTACAGTTAAGAGGCCACTTCTCCTGGGGCCCTCCCCCACTGTCACCGCAGATGCCATCAGCAGATGCCACCCAGAAAGGCTGCAAGAAAAGGTCAGGTGCAAAAAACAGCTCCAACAGGAAATGTGCTGTGAAAGTAAGAAGTGCGAATCTACAGGGACCCATCAGGCGCTGCACGAATCTACAGGGACCCATCAGGCGCTGCACGAAGAGAAGGGAACCAGCAGACGGTGACACGTACAGGAAGGGGCTCTGCCTGGCAGCCCCCGCCCACGGGCAGGCCTTGGCACCCCCAGCTCCCGCAGGCTGCGAGGCTCTTCCATCCCTGCCAGGGAGAAGCAGGAGCAAGGCCTGGGGTGCTGCAGAGCCTGGCCCCTGAGCCTAGCTCACAAGCCCGGAGTGGGGGACGCAGGGCCGCACACAGCGGGTGCTCTGTGAACGTTGGCTGAAAGGCAATTAATGGCACCTGGAGACAGAACACAGGAAACGCACTGGCGTCAGACTAAGGACGGCCCGCTTCACTCTAACAAGGGCCGCTAGGTTCCGCGCTGAGAGGGTCATATCAGGCTGGCTTTGTGAGGACGCGCCCCGCACCCAGCCCCGTCTGCAGGGGAGCACCCAGGGGGCTCTTGAGTTCTCCTGGGCTGAGGGTCACGACGCTGGTGCGGCCCGGATCTCCTGCTGGGCGGCACTGTGGCCCGCAATCACTGCCCCGGAAGCCCTCTCCTCCACACTCTCACCCTCGTCCTGTCACCTGGCTCGGGCGTGGCGTGCTGAAGGCCTCTTCGCAGACCCCATCCCACTCTGCAGAAGGGCTTCCGAGTACTGCCCCCTCGGCCTCCTCGGACGCATCCCCTCCCCCGAGCTCCACCTCAAAAGTGTCCGGCCACCTGGGGGCCTCCCCCACCCCTGCCCAGCCAGGCCGGGCTGTCGCAATACATCCCCGCCCAAGCGGACCAGACGGACCGGCTGCGACGGGCCCTGCGCAGGGGTGAGGGGCTGGTGGGCGGGGCCTGGGCGCCAAGTCCCGCCTCCCGCACGCCCACTGCGCTCGCGCGCTGCCTGGCCGCCCGGGAGAGCTGGCTGCCACGGGCTCGAGCTCGGGGGCAGACTTGACTGCGCGGCCGGGCCGGGGACCTGCGTCCGCCGGCGGTGAGTGAGGGCCCGGGCCGGGCGGGCGGGGGGCGCGGGGACGGGGCCCTGCCCAGCGAGGAGGGGGAGCGGGCGAGTGGGGAGCCAGGGAGGCGGGAGAGGCCTGCGGGAGGCTGGGGGTCGGGGTTGCGAGCGGCCCCGGCCCCTGGGCGCCTCGCCTCCACTCCCAGCCCCCCAGCCTCCCGGCCCTCTCCAGTATTTCCAAAGGACGAGGGCGGGAGCGGGCGGAGACTGCAGCCGGGCGCCCTCCCGGGCTGGGTAGCCAAGGGCTGCGCAGGCGCCGGGGCCCCATCGCCCAACTCTAGGGCCCATTCCCTGACCCCTCACATGGGGACTGGGGAAGGGCCAGCCTTCCTGACTTGCAGGGGCTGGGATCTTGGCGCGCTGGCAGGAAGGAGAGAATTAAATGCCCTGGTGGGTCACCATGGGGACGGGAGCCTGCCTTGGGAAGAGGTGAAAGCACCTTGTTTGGCATGGATTACGCAAGTATATGAGGTGCCTAGGAGCCCAGCCCCCTGCGCTGGGCCACCAGGCCCCTTCCATCCCTGGGGTCCAGGACGTGCTCCTGCCTCTCTTGCTGGCCCAGCGTCACTGAATGCCAGGCTCTCCCGGAGATCAGCCCTGTGAGCCTGGGGGAAGAGTGCACAGTCTGGGTCCCGAATGGCCCTGCCCGCAAACCCACGGGTTCCCTTCCGCCTGGCCCTACTAATGTGGACACATTAATATCCAGTGCCGACTCAGCCCAGCAGGGCGCAGTTGTTGGGGTGCCTGGCAACAGGGTGGAGATGCTGACTGTGACCGCGGAGGTGAGCCCCAGAGCTTCCTTCAGGACAGCTCAGGGCTCCTCCCACCGGAACTTCACTTTGTGGAGGAGGAAACCGAGGCTCCTTCCTCCCTAACTGCCGGGATCCCGGAAGAGGCCCCAGGTGGGCTTGGCGCTGTCCTTGGACGTCTGCAGCTCCTGCTGCCAACCCCAAGACATCAGCCCCTGCCCAGACCTGAAGCCCATTCTCAGGGTCTCTGCCAGCGCCTCCCAAAATCTGTTCTCTCCCTGGCTTTCTCCTTCCTCCCGGTGCCTGGGGACTAGCCCTTCCCCCGCCCGCCCACGGCTGTCCCCAGCAGAAGGTACCAGGCTGCTCCTCCCACACTGCGCCTCCTGCAAAACAGAGAACTAGGACCCCAGCTGGTCGCATTCAAAGTGCTTTCTCCATCCACTGCCAAGGACCTATGCCCAAGGGAGGGTCCTGGTGCAGGACAGCCCCCAGGGACTCACAGCCACCTGCCTGCCAGAGCCTGTGCCTGTTACCGCTGGGGTGACTGGTGGCACACTGCTGGGTCTCCCTGAGCCTCCCCCAGCCATGAAGGGGGGCGGGAGTAGCAGATACGTATGGGGTCATCGTCTTCAGCGTTAAATAACACAGAATGGGAGAGCCCCTCCCCCAGCACAGAAGCTGCCCAGGTGGATACTCAGCTAGATATGCCTCATGCCCCCAGCCCAGCTCTAGGTCCCCATGTGAGGCACAGAGCTGGCCCCTGGAAAGTTCTGGACGCAGGTCATATAATATTACTGGTCGCCATCCCCCCCCCTAGGGCCCTTGGACTCGAGAAATTGCTAAGAGGCCAGACGAGAATTCCAGGCAAGGCTTTACTGGGGCTCGAGCTGCAGCACAAGGAAGCAAAACCAACAGCTCCCGAGAGGAGCTACTTGAGTCCTTAAATGGGGTGACAACGGGGGCGGGTCTGTGGGTCAGGCAGGAGGCATAGCTTAGGTGGCCTGTCCCCTCCTTGGGGGTACCGGGCAGGAATGATGTGCAGTACCATGCTTTTGCTCCCAGCACCTCAAAAACGTAGTTTGTGGCTTCTTGTACCCTGTTGCCCCACGGTGCGTGGGCGCAGTTATTTTTCGTCACTTATAGTTTCTTTGTATCTTGTTGCTCTAGGGGACGTTGGTCCAGGTGCAAGCACTCTGATAGAGGATCCCAGGTCCCAGCCCATCTCATCCACACCCCCCGGACCGTGGGCAGGGGCCACTCCCTTGACCTCCCTTTCTGGGTGATTCTGAGAACCTTAATGAGTTCCCTCCCCCCAAGCAGCAAGTGCTACAGACTTGGGGAAGGGCCTCCGCTGGGAGTCTGCACCGAGTGAGGGGCAGGTTGGCAGTGGAGCAGAAAGACCCTCTGTGCTCTGGCCCTGCTGCTGGAAGCTGGCAGCTCCCCCATCTACGAAGTGGGGACACCAGGCTGCCCCCAGGGCCAGTGTCCCTGACCCCATTGGGAAGAGCAAGCCGCTGCCCCTGCCCCAGGGCCCTGCGCGAGGGGGGTGAGTCCCGCCCTCCAGCGAGCTGTCTCTTTAGCGCAGGGCTGACTTCTTTGGCTTCGTGAGACCCCAGCCGGGACGCCAGTCCCCTCCAGAATGAAGGTCTTCCTGCCGGTACTGCTGGCTGCCCTCCTGGGTGTGGAGCAAGGTGAGGTGCCCCGGGGCCCCAGGCCTCTGAGCGGGCTGTGTCCTCTTCCTCGACTCTCTCCTGAGCGGTGCCCACGTCACCTACTCTGTGCCACCTAACGGGCTCCTCCCACGGCGAAGTGGTCCCTCCTACCCCCGCCCCCACTGGCGGCCTCAGCCCTGCCTGGACACCTGGGGCATCACTGGGGCTCCTCCAGAGCCAGGGTCTGTTGTCATTGTCTCCTGGATCTCCAGCCCGGGCCCAGGCTACCATAGTCGCTCAGTCAGTGCCTGCACAAGATGGGATGTCCTCATGCCTCTGGGTCCGGGCTGGGAGGGGACACAGGAAGACTCCTGGGCATGAGACAGGCATCCCTCCTTCTGCAGTCCGCTCCCTGGTGTGCTTCTCTTGCGTGAATGAGAACAGCAACTGGTACTGCCTGAAGCCCACCGTCTGCTCCGATACAGACAACTACTGTGTGACCATCTCTGCATCCGCTGGCATCGGTGAGCGCAGACGCAGCGCAGCTAGGCTTCCCCCACCCCCGCCCTGGCCTCTCTGCCCCTCCACTCACAACCTCGTGTTCCTGTGCAGGGAACGTGGTGGACTTTGGCTACACCCTGAACAAGGGCTGCTCCCCGATCTGCCCCATCCGGAGCGTCAATCTCGGTGTGGCATCCGTGGGCACCCACTGCTGCCAGAGCTTCCTGTGCAACATCAGTGCGGCCGACGGCGGGCTGCGGGCCAGCGCCGCTGTGCTGGGCCTCGGGCTCCTGCTCAGCCTGCTGTCGGCTCTGCTGCGATTTGGCCCCTGACCCCCGGGACCCTGTGCCCGGCCCAGACTCCCAAAGCTCAGGAAGGAAGGAAAGCCCAGCTCCTCCCAGACCCAAGAGGATCTCGAAGCCTCCTCCCCTAGACTCCTCACCCTGCAGAGCCCACCCTCTAGGCCCTGGGTCCCCACAGGCAGGCCTGCCCTCTGCACCCACACACCTGCCGGCTACCCTTACTTCCCGGTCGGCCTTCCAGGGGGAACCTGGGAACGGAGCCTGAGGGCCCCAGAGTCAGAACCACGTCCCAGGGACATGCTGGGAGGGGCACCTGATCCCAGGCCTGCCCCTGTCGGCCCGCAGGTGCGGAAGATGTGCTGTGTGGACAGGCGCTGGTCCATGTGCCCTGCCGGGCACGGGTGAGCGTGTGGCCAGGTCTCGGCCTGTGTGGGGGAAGGATGGGAGTAAAGCCTCAGGAGCCCAGCCCCGAGCGCCAGCACAGAACCCCTTTCCCCTGGCATCTCTGCACACCTCATTTCACTCACTTCGAGGGCAGCCTTTAGGAAGACAGGCCTTCCGCTGTCACCAGGTCTAGGCTGCTGACCCAGGAATCTGCTCCCAGCCCGAAATCCAGCTGCTCTCGGGCCCCCTCCCTCCACCGCCACACTGGAGCCCTCCTGCTGCTTTGGTGCCTCAAATAAACACAGATGTTCCCACCCTTTCCTGCTCTAGGTGTGGCCCACAGCCTGAGACTGTCCCTTCCATCAGGGTCCTACTGAGGGGGAGGGGGCAGCAGAGATGCAGAGCCGCAGGTGTAGAGGGTCTGAGGGTCCCCTGCGATCGGGCCCCACCCTGAGGCCCACTGGGAGGCAGTGAGGAAGGGGGTCGCCGGAGACCACAGCTAGCTGCCCTCGGCCGGGCAGGGTTGGGAAGTTTATCCTCCGGACAGGACTGGACTAGACAGAGAAACTAGCAGAGGTCAGCCTGCTTCTGGGTGGAAGGCAGGACCCTACAGAGGGAGGGACGGGGCTGGGCGGGAGGGGAGGGGACACCCCCAACCGGGGTTCCGGGACTTGGGTACGGGGTGCCTGGGCCAGTCAGGCTGAGGAGGACGCAAAGCATGGTGGGGAAGGGGGGCAGGCGCTCAGTAAGTGGGTGAGTGAGATGTCCATCCCAAGGGCCTATGGGAGGAGTTGGGGGGGACTCCCCTGGAGAAGGCCTGGACCCTGGCTGGAGGGCAGGGGCGCTGCTACCCGAGCCGGCAGCCCTCGCTGCTACACGCCTACTCCCCCGGCAAGCCCAACTGTGGTCTGTGGCTAAGCCAGGGGTTCCCAGCGACTGCACTGGGGGAGTGTCTGAGTCCTACGCCAAGGGGATTCTTTGATTGGGCTGGCGGCCGAGGAGCAATGAGCCAAGGGCTGCAGCTGGGCGCCTTGCATAGCGTGATACGGTTATCCTTCAGGACGCTGTCGTGTCTCCTGGGCGGTGGGAGGGAACACAGCAGGGCTGGGTCCAGGCTGGCCGGAAGCTCTGACGTGCCTGGGTCCAGGGTCCAAGCATCGCTGTGCAGCAGGGCGGGACAGTGGTCCCTGTGAGGGCTCAGGTTGTGGCCCATATCCCGGGCCCGGGTCACAGGAGCAGGTGAGCAGCTCTGCACAGAATGGGCCCTGTGACACACATGAATGCAGCATCCTCGGCGTCATCGCCACCAAGGGGGATGCCAGCCAGCACTTGGGGTTGAGCGCCAATGCGGTGATAGAGCTCAAGGGAGGGACGGGAGGAGCGGTCTGCCCCAGGAAATCAGGACGACAAGGGGAAGGAGACCCAGGCCCAGCCAACATCTCGTGGAAGGGTCCAGAAGCACATCACAGCATCTGGTTGAGACTCACGGGGTGGTAGAAATGGTGAGGTGCACTTGAGTGGATCAGACCAGCATGAAAAACCAAAGCAAGAAAAAGAATTCAAGGGGATGAAATCAGCATGTCCCCCAGGAATGCTGGTTACCTCTGAAGTTCAGGGTCCTCTAAACAGAATGTTGCAGGGACTTCCCTGGCGGTCCAGTGGTTAGGAACCTGCGCTTCCACTGCAGGGGGCATGGGTTCAATCCCTAGTCTGCTGTGTGGTGAAGCCAAAAAAACCCAAAAGGCAAAAATGCTGCCCACCGTTCCAGTTCCAGGAGGATTAAATTGCAACCCACTGCAGTCGCCCACCAGCAGTGTGCCCTGAGGCGAATTCATGATAGGGAAGAACAGGAGGAAGCAGGCTCTGTTAAGATGTGGATCTAAGGGAGAATTTCAATGACCCCGGATTCTTGCATCTTCCCATACATAGAAAAGCACTAAAATCATTAACTTGAGATGTCTGTCTTTTGTGATATGTAGTAATCTTTTACCAAGATGTATGCTTGACCACCTGTATTTCCCAATCAAAAAATTCATATATATACTGGCTCCCCTACCTCTCTGGAGCTACTGAGAGGCTGTCTCCCAGGCTAGAGTCCTCAGTAAAGTCCCCGCAAAAAACTGAAACTGTGTAAGCAGATAGGTTAGGGGGTCCCCAGAGAAAGAACCAGGAATGGCTTTCTTGACATAAGAGAAGCCATTTTGGCCTAAGCCATTTTGTGATCTAAGCCTGGCTGCAGTGCTTGCCCTCGAACAGGTCTCTGTGACCAGTGATCTTAGGGGAACAAAAGAATACAGGAACAGAGGAAAAGCAGTCCAACAACAGTGCAGTGATGCAGTGGAGTACTAGTTCCTCCTCGAGGGATATACCGCTTCATGAATGTGCACGTACCCTTAGCTTAAAACTTCCCCAGTGTCGCTGTTGGGGAGACTCTGCTTTGGGTAGGATCCCTGGTGTTCTCCTTGCTTGCTGCCCGTAATACATGCTTCCTTCTGCTCTTTGGCAAATGGTTGTGGCTTCTGGCTCCACGCCTACCGAGAGGCGAGCCCAGTTTTCAGGTAACACCTGCTTTCACGTTGTGCATTTTGTCTGCTTTGTTTGTTGTTGGCAGTCCCCACATAGAGTGCATCCACTGTGTTCACTCAAAACAAATCACAAGCAACTTTGCTAAAAGGACCGAGACCAGCAGGGTGGGGCAGTGGTGGTGACAGGGAGAGAGCGAAGGGGCAAAGTAGGCGATTAAAGAGTTACTCCCACTAAGGGATCATAAGTAAAGAAAAGAGTATGGGAGACAGACCCCTGTAAGTTAATGATCACGCAAGAAAGCAGGCTTGCTTAGCAACAAAAGCATGCAACAGAAGCACAAGACATGCCCCAAAACGATGGTGGAGCGAGACCCACATCCTGCCCAGTGAGGTCAGTAAGGTAATGATTCCTAGAACGTGCTCCTCTGCGCACGCTAAAGACAAAAATATAGGGAAAGGTGATGTTCTACTGAAACCTGAGATGATCTACCGCGGTTTAGTGTGTGTTACCACCTTTTTGCCCATTTCCGGAGCACCATGACAGCCCTGGCTTGACCGTGTAGGGACAAGCTCCCTGCCTGACGTGGAGGGGGGCTGATGATGGAAGTTCGACATCTACTCAAGAACGAGGAAGAAGTGGTCTTCCCCTCACTTCTTCTACATTATAAAAATGTAGCCCACCCAGCTTTCATCACGGTGCTCCCTTGCTTGCCCGCTTGCATCTCTCACAAGCGCCCTATACTGATAAACCTTTTCCTTACCTGTCACTGCCTCTCGCTGAATTCTTTCTGCACTGAAGAACCTGTGCTCTACTGAGTCCCAAAACGCGTCCTGTCGTTTCAGCGGGGCCAGGCCAGAGGAAGATGCACAGGTGGACTTGACCATCACAGTCGGGAGTTTGGATTTGACTCTGGGGACACTGGGAGCCAGGGGGCGGGGAGCGGGGGGCAGTGGCAGGACAGGTATGTAACAAATGCTCTGTTCCCGCTAATGCTAACCTCAGCTTCCATCTCTGTGTACTGACTACTTTGCAGGTGATATTGATCTGTTATACTCTTCCCACAACTACAATGAGAGATGGATGTGGTTACCTCCAGGTTTCAGAAGTGAAAACCAGGGCTCAGAGGGTTGAAGCCACTTGTCCTCCTGCGTCTAGGACCCTGGGCGTGCCCAGCATTTCCTCTGCCCCGGGTTGCAGGGCGAAGTCCCTTGAGGGCTGGGTTCAGAGACAGCTGGGCCTCCTAGGGGCGGCTGCGCTTCCCTCCCTGGGGTGGTGGGAGGCTGGAAGGCACAGGTTGTGCAAGAGCAGAGGGAGGCTGGGTGGGGCTGAGCGGGGGAGGAGCCCAGGGCTCTGAGTTTCCATTTCCTACAGCCTGAGGGAGGGGAGGGAGGGGAGGGAGGGAGGGGAGGGGAGGGAGGGAGGGGAGGGGAGAGGGAGGGAGGGGGGGAAACCCTCAGGAGAGGGCAAGAAGGGGAACGAAGCGGCAGAGGGGAGGGAAAGGAAAGCTTTCCTCGGGCTCTGCCCGGACTCTCGCTTCCCCTGGCATCTGCCCGGGCTGCACGGAGGTGCCAGGCGCAGCACTGTCTGGCCCGGGCACACTTTGGCCGGGAGTCTGGGCTTTCTAGTCTCAGTGCCCAGGGGCCGGAGTGATGCCTGCCGTTTCTCTGTAGGCAGATTCAGCTCCGTCCGGTCCGGCCCCTGCCCCCTCGCCTGCCCCTCCCAGGCTGCTCGGTCTGCCGCCTGACCCAGCTGGCCTCCGGGACGAGGGGGGTCCTGCCCAGGGTCTGCCCTCTCCCACAACACTCCTGTGGTGCCCATGGCCCAGGCACGGGGCCCCCTCCTCCCCAGTCCTTAGCACCACCTTCATTGCCCCGCTCCTGCCCTCCTGTGACCCAGGACCCAACCTGCTGGCGGGGGCCCCTCGCAAAGGCGACCTCATGGCCCGGCCTGGGTTTGCCCTGCCCGAGCTTTCAGAGTTCCTCTGGTCGCCTGCCGGGCTCCCCTCGGTCCGGTGCCGTTGGCGGTGGGGTGGGAGGTGCGGGCACCAGACCATCCCCAGGGCTGGTGACGGAGCCACAGCACAGCTGGACCTCCCCTCTCTGAGCCCCACCCATGGGTGCTTTCTGGGACCCCTTGAATGGAAGGTTAATAACCTCAGCAGAGGGTGCATTCTGGGAGGACGGCTCCCTGGAGAAATCTGAGTGACACGATGAAGTCCTGGGAAGGCAAGCATTTAAGGTCAGAGTGGAAAGTGCAGGAGGAGGGGTGCTCTAGGTGCCCAAGCTGCTGGGACTTGGAGACTCTGAGTTACGAGGCGCCGTCCCCTGGCGGCCGCGAGCGGCACAAGGCCGACGGGAGCGCCGAGGCCGCTCGAGGGGGCGTCTGCCCTCAGCCCTTCCGTTTAGCCTCCGGGGCAGAGCAGGGCGAGGCCCTCCGCGGGCCCGAGGGGGTGGGCCCAGGCTGGGCGGAGCCTCCCGCCACGCCCCCCAGCCCCACCCCTTGCGGAGGTCGTCTTCCTACAGGTCACACTGAGCTTCCCAGCCTTGTCAGTCCGTCCATCCCGCTTTTGCCGAGGAAGACTGTCCTGGAACAGCCCGCCGGGCTTCATTGTAATATTGAAGGAAAGTCCACCTCTTCTAATAGCTGGCCTCCTCCTGAGGGCTAGAGGGGACGCCAGGCTGAGGGTCCCCAGCCCCCGTCCCTCCCCCAGGACCACGCCCTTTGCCCCTCCCCCAACCCTCAGCTCCTCTGCTGACAGCTCCCCTGCTGACAGCTCCCCCAGCCTGAGGACCCCCCCAGGGAACTGGGGAAGCCTATGGAGACACAGGCAGCCAGAGGATCAGGCACCTGCTCCCGGCTCACCTGAGTCTGGGATTAGCCAGAAGATGTCCCTGAGCTCTGCCCCCCAGACCCAGCTTTCACAAGATGCCCCGTCCACCCCTCTGTCACACACACACACACACACACACACACACACACTAGGTCCCAGGGTCAGGACTTGGGACACTGATAGCACCCCAGGCCTGGGCTGGGGGTGGGCAGGAGAGGGGCTCAGAGGTTGGGTTCCAGTGGCTCTCACCCTACTGAACCCAGGGGCGTCTGGCTCCCTCCTCACATTAATGCCTGGGGTGGGGCTGGGGACAGGGAGGCAGCTCTTGGCCGGTTCTGCCCAGAGGAGTGAGCAGAGTCTTGCCATCCTGAGGGTGTCACAGACACCGGTTCACCTGCCACTCCGTTCCCGTTCCCCACAGCTTCTGCTGCACTGGGCCTGACACCCTCATAGCCTGGGGTCTGGAGCCGGTGAGGGTCAGACCCCGCAACCCCGGGCTCCCAGTGACCCCGGCCTTTCCTGCAGGTCCTTGTAATTTGCGTCCCTTCCCCCAGGATCACCAAGAGCGCCTGTCAGAGAAGGGGATGGAGGAGCTCCCGGCTCCGGGCCAGTCCTGACAGGACCACAGCGTTGGGCACCCCGAGGCTCTCCTTGCCGAGCCCCCTGCTGGGGAACAGACCTCCCAGTTCCCTCACTTGCTGGCGCCCGAGCTCCCCTGGGAAGGTGGCCTCGCTCTCCCTCCAGCGGTGTCTCAGATTTGTGACTCGGTTTCCTCAGTGGTCTGCTCGTCCTCAGGCCCCAGCCCTCCTCCCCCCGGGGCCTGGTGAGAGCTGTGGTCCCTGTGGGAGGGACGCTGTGGTCCCCAGGAGGGTAGACAGGCCAGGGAAGGACAGGGATGACCCGCGCCACAAGCCCCCAGCCCTGCCTCCACCCATCAGGATCCTCCTGTCCACGAAAACTTAATCAATAGTCATTCTAAGGAAAGAGAATTTCAGTGGCGCCAACCTGAGGATTATAAGCCGGGAGACAGTCTTTCAGAAAACCCTGAGGACTCTTCCACCCGCTAAAGGTCAAAGCAAGGTTACATGTTTCTGAGACAAAGGGTTATACGCCAGATGGTGTATTATTGACAGTTTACACAGTCCAGATCTACATGTACAAAGCGAGTAGTGGGCCATGGTGTTACAGCAGGCAGGTAGCTAGATACGCGCAGAGGAGGTGGGGCACGGGCCAGATGGCAGGAAACCGTACAGCTTGTAAACAACGGTGGCCCTTGGACAGACAGAGAAAGGCAGGAACCTCTGGACTGACAGGAAACCACGCATTTTGGGGTGACAAGTGCCCTGGAGACAGACAAAGAAAGATGAGAAGAGGCTGGAATCTCCAGAGTCCAAAAGTAACCTTTTGCTCATTATACTCTGATTACAATAAAATTAGCCTCGCAGATAAGAAATACCCATCGCTCGGCAGAGGGCATCCCCCTCGTCTCCATCCTGTGTTCCTTCAGGGCTCACCTTCCGGGGGTGGGGGGGCGGTGGTGGTTGATGGCTGCGACATCCTTTGGCTGCTGACATGGCAGCGACATTTTCCATCCACAGGAGCCTTAGCAGACTGTGCCAGTTTATACTGAGGCCGGTAAAGTGTAAGCTCTCCAGCTGTCCACATCCTGCACAGCTCTTGGTATTTTCAGTACTTGTAATACTAGCCATTCTTGTTTGGATTTCTTCCTCTCCAACTGTCATATATTTTGTTTTCCTAGATTAACTGCACGATTGAGCATATGACATATTTGGTAAGTGTTCTACATGCACTTAAATACGGATTCACTTGTTTGGTATGATGTTCCATATATGTCCATTATGTTAATTTTTTGCAATCTTGTGCAAATTTACGTATGCTAAGTGACATGCTTGTCTGCTTGTTCTATTGTTAGGGAACCATTGACCAAAACTGCCCGCCTTGGCCAGGTATGATAATAACTACCTGCATGAGCTGTCACACAAAAGGAGGCCCCAATAAGGAACAGGACGCTGCCGCAGAAAACTCACCAGGAGAATATGGGAGAGGCCGAAAGGAGGGAGGAGACGCCAGCCTGTAAAACGTCCTGCCAACCTCCCAGAAACCCTCCGACTGGAATCCATCTTAACTCAGAGATGCATGCACCACCAGGAAGGGCCCTGAGTCAGACCAAATGTGGGCACAAGTAGGATAATTGGCCAGAGACAACCCAGAAAGTTAACCCCATCACCATAAAACCCGAGACTGCGAGCCACGTGGCAGAGCAGTCCTCCTGGGGTCCCTTACCCTCCTGCTCTCCGCCTGGGCGCCCCTTCCCAATAAAGTCTCTTGCTCTGTCAGCACGTGTGTCTGCTCGGACAGTTCATTTCTGAGCGTTAGACAAGAGCCCGCTCTCGGGCCCTGGGAGGGGTCCCCCTTCCTGCAACACTATCAATTACTTAAAGGATTTATGGTGAAGTATTTGCGTCACTGTCGCAACTTTCACTTCTGCCACATGTTGCTTAAACATTTTGAAGCTGTTACTAGTTGTTTAGAGGTAGGATTGACATATCTTTGTGTTATGTTGACTTTTTATCACTATGAAATACCTTTTAGTAATATTTCTTGCCTTAAAGTACACTTTATATGGCATCAATAGGGTGAACGAGATTTCTTTGGATTACTGTCGGCAGGATGTTTTTCTCACCCTTTTTCTTTTCAGCTATTCTGTGTCCTGATTTTTAAAGTCAGAGTTGTAACCAGTTTAGTGTTATTTTGTATCCAGTCTAAAAAATTTTGCTTTTACTTTGGAATGTTAAGTCCATTTACTTAACATTTACTTAACATAGAACTAACATAGTTGGGTTAATGTAGTGCAGCCCTGACACTTGGTTTCATTTTTTTTATAAATTTATTTTATTTTATTTATTTATTTTTGGCCGTGTTGGGTCTTCATTGCTGCGCGCGGGCTTTCTCTAGTTGCGGCGAGCGGGGGCTACTCTTCGTTGAGGTGCGCGGGCTTCTCATCGCCATGGCTTCTCTTGTGGCAGATCACGGGCTCTAGGCACGTGGGCTTCAGTAGTTGTGGCACATGGGCTCAGTAGTTGTGGCTCGTGGGCTCCAGAGCACAGGCTCAGTAGTTGTGGTGCACGGGCTTAGCTGCTCCGTGGCATGTGGGATCTTCCCCGCCCAGGGCTCGAACCCGTGTCCCCTGCATCGGCAGGCGGATTCTTAACCACTGCACCACCAGGGAAGTCCCGGTTTCTCTTTTTCTAATGCAAAGGCCTGACCTCAGCTTTGCTTGCCAGGCATCCACTCCCAAATGACTCTCTAGATTAAACACATTGCCAGCTACAGGACTAGGTAGGAGCCAGACACGCCCACCCCCAGGCTCCTTTGTTTTAGAGCTCTTAGTTGGTTTCTATAACTCACCATCCTGGGCTCGAGTTTCTCCTCTACCCATGCTTTAAATCCCCACTCTTCTGTTTTAAAGTCACTAATAAAGAGTGAGCCCACCAAACCCTAGGTCCCCACCCTCGACCCCATAAAAACAGAACCCCAGGCTAGTGCTAGCACACTCTCCCCAAGACCTCACATTGTGCCTCCAGGTATGCCTCAGGGTCTGTGATCAGCTCAGGCACAATTCTCTGATTGGTTGACGGTGAGGTAAGAGGGTGGTTAACATGATCAATCGTGAGGTGCTTGTAGGTCTGGGGCTCATGATCATCAAGTAGTTTATTTCTTCCATTTGGTGGTGATTTTAGCATCCATAAAACATCTCAGGAAATGTGCATCAGATACTGTTATCTGGGTACTTCAGAGAGGAGCTACAGCAGAGGATATGGGGGGAGGGTCTGTCCCAGGAAGACCCCAGAGGGTCCTGCTCAGTTACACGGACTTATCACTCCTGCTTCTCTGCCCTTCTTCCTAGAGTTCCATGTTCCCATTTGTAATCATTTCACTTTACCTTGAAGAGTTTCCTTTTTTATTTCTTGTGGTTTGAGTCTGCTGGCAATGAATTATCGCAACTTGTGTATAAATCAAACTCTTTTGTTTTCTATATCTCTGGATAATATTTTTGGTCGGCATAGAATTCAGGGTTGCCAGACTTTGTCATTCATCACTTTCAAGATACAATTTCATTTTCTTCTGGCTTTTTTGTGAAAAGTCAGCTTTAGCTCTTAATCGTCGGTGCTCTGTAGATACTGCGTCTCTTTCCCCCGGCCGCTAAGAGTATTGTGTTTTTTGGTTTTCAGCATTTTGATTGCAGTATCACTAGCTGGGATGACATTCTTTGCGTTTATCCTGCTTAGAGTTTTCTGTGATCCATGGATCTGTGAATTATCTTTCATGGATTTTGAACAATGTTATCTCTTCAAGTATTTATTTATTCCCTCTTTCTTCCCTGTGGTACTCCAATCTCATGTAAAGTTAGACCATTTGACTGAGTCTCACAGGCCGTTATGCTCCGATTAATTTTTTTCTATTGTTTTTATTCTCTCTAAGCTTCCCTTGGGCTGTTTTATATTGTCCTGTCTCTACCTACGTTCATATCGTCTTCGGCTCCTAATTCATCCAAACGAGTTCTTAATTTCAGATGTTTTATCTTTTAATTCCAGAATGCGACGGTTAATCGTATGTGTTAACTCGGCTGGGCCACAGGACTCCGATATGTGGTCAAACACCATTCTGGATGTTTCTGTGAGGATGCTTTTGCATGAGATTGCCATTCAAATTGGTGACATTTGAGTGAGGCCGACTGCTCTCCATAATCTGGGTGGGTCTCACCTAATCAGCCGAAGGCCTGAATAGAACAAAAGACTGAGCTCCTCCAAGCAAGAGGGAATTCTGCAACAAACAGTCTCTGGACTTTAACTGCAGCACCAGCTCTCCGGCCTTCTGGCTCTAAGGAAACAGAATTTGCCACCCTAAGATACGTCTCTCTGTCACATGCATTGTTTTCAGCTGGTTATTTTCTGAGAAAGAGCAGACATGGGAAGGGGTTCTGACCACCAAGTAGGAGTTGACCTTTTGTAAGAAACATTTACATTTATAAGGGAAATCTCCATTTGGGATGACCAAATCTCTAGAAACTCTTATCATTGGAGAAGGCAATGACTTAAATCTGCATCACAATCCTGGTCACCTGCCATAACTGACTCTCCCCACCTTCAACGACCTGTTTTGTCTTTAGCTGAGGATGGTATTTAAGGTGAGGGCTGTGGCCCCTTTGGTGAGTTACTCAGTTTTCCTGGGTCTCTCCCATGTAGACATGTTGTTAAACTTCTGCGAGATTCTCTCCTGTTAATCTGTCTCATGTCAATTTCACCCTTAGACCAGCCAGAAGGGTACAGGAAGACTTCTCCACCCCCCGCCCCCACCCCCCACAGCCCATCCTGAAGATTTTGGCCCTGCAGCCACTTCCTTAAAACAAATCTCTTTTTGTTTCTATACACATTCTATTGGTTCTGCTTCTCTGGCGAATCCTCGCCCATACAGAGAATATTTATTTGATTTGTTTCATAAAGTCCTATTCTCTGTCAAAACTCTCAGTTTTTAAAGTCTATTATTGAACATACTTGTCACCGTTATTTTAAAGTCTTTTTCTGTTAACCCCATTATCTGGATCGTCCGCTGGTCTGTGTCTACGGCTTTTCTCCCCTGTTGCTATCGGTCACCTTGGGGCCTTGTATAAATAAGAGCCAGAGGCCACGCATACCTCTAGTAGCGGGTCCCTCGTTTCCTCTTTTACCAGATCAAAGTGCATGAAGTATTCACCAGGTCAACTCCATTACAAGTTGAGCTGGGTTGGGCTGGACCGCAGCTTTAGGAAACTCATACGCCCTCCTGTCCCTCTCCTCCCAGGCTTCCGGTGGAGACTCGGGCAGGCGCGTCTCCTGGTCCTGGAAAGCGCGGTAGATGCCCTCCACGTCTTTGCACCCAGCTTTGAAGCCTCCCACTCCCAACTCCTGCGGCCGCTTTAGACTCTGGCAAGTCTCTTCAGAGCAAGGTCAAATGTGTGTTTGGAGCAGGCCTCTTTCCTCGGGTGGGAACTTGGCTCCTCAGGGCCGTGGAACTGCCGCGGACGTCACTCTTCCTTATACACGCCCCGCCCTGGGTACCGCCGCCTGCATCCGGGACTCAGCGCGCATTCTGGTTTTTCGTAGGTTTCGCTTTCCCGGAGCTGAGCGTGCTCGCCCCTCCTCCCTGGGTTGTGGATACAGTCTCGCTGATGGTTGGCAAATCCCCAGGAAGAAAAGACAGGGCAGGCTGGCAGCGTCGGCTCAGCTCGGGGGACTTCCCCACCTCTGGAAGCCAGTCCACTTGGTCCTTGTCCCTCTCAGCTCCCCAACACGTTTACTTACGACACCTGCAACCTGCCTGTTTTTTTCTTCTTGGTCCAGTGGGAGCATGTGACCGCCAGTCTACTTCAACCTCGCAAATCCCGGACGCCCTCTGATGGCTACTGAATTTTATATGCTTACTTTGCATCCTGACTCGTTACTGATTGTTTTCCAAATATGTTACTTTTATTCTTTATTCTCTAGAATTTCCAGGTATACTGCCGTATCACCTACAAATGATAGATACGGTTTTACTTCTTTTTCCATTCTAAAGCCTGTAATTGTTTATTGTTTTCTAACTGTATCAGTGAATACTTCTGACTGAATTTCAAATAGTGATGGGAATGCTTTTCTTTTAATGGGTATTTTTTTTCTAATGTAAGATGATAACTTTTTTTTGAAAAAATACATGTTAAAGGGCTTCCCTGGTGGCACAGTGGTTGAGAATCCGCCTGCCAATGCAGGGGACACGGGTTCGAGCCCTGGTCCGGGAAGATCCCACATGCTGCGGAGCAACCAAGCCCGTGTGCCGTAACTACTGAGCCTGTGCTCTAGAGCCCGCAAGCCACAGCTACTGGGCCCGCGAGCCACAACTACTGAGCCTGCGTGCTGCAACTACTGAAGCCCATGTGCCTGGAGCCCGTGCTCTGCAACAAGAAAAGCCACCACAATGAGAAGCCCACGCACTGCAACAAAGAGTAGCCCCC